AAAGTAATTTTGGAGTGATTTTTTTATGTGCTTGAAAACTATATACATTATTAAAATTCAATAGGAGTATGTAGCCAGCATAGAGAAATTTTAGACAAGTTTTGGTTGAATTATATTGATGGTGACAGAATTAGTTTCTTCTCACATAGTTATCTCCATGTTCCATTCTCTCTATTCCTTCATTTCTAAAATATTACTTGATTTATTTTTATTGCTTTGAATGTCCCTGTTCTTAGATTTTGTTCACCCTATGTAACATAAAATAACGTTTATTAGTGCTTGAAATGCAGGCTTGGAAAATCTTTTGTTCTTATTCATGAGTATGTTAATTTTAGAGTTATTTGAGAAGACACGGTTACAGCTCCATATCCTTAAAACAATCATTAAAATAATGGCAGTAATACCATTTAGTAAATAAAGGAAGGACCTTGGGCTTCCAATCTTGTCTGGACAGGGAAGACCACAAATCTGGATGTCATTCTTCCCTACATCAAAGGGAAACCTCACTGCTGATTTGGACTATGAAGACCTCACTCTCTATGATAAGGTTCAGATGCTAAGTTAGCCAGTATAAAATTTATGCTCAGTTCTCTACTAGTGGTGTAGACAAAGTGCTATGGATCAGAGAAAGGGATCCATTCTTCCAGGTAACAGAACAGGTAAACTGGTAAAGAAGGCTTCGTGAGGGAAATCAGATTGCTGGGTAAGAATTCCCAGAGAGGGTGGTAGAATGCACAGCACAGAGAAGCAAGGCACATAGCAAAGTCTCCAACTGGGGGCCACAACTATCAATGGCCATGCTCTTGGAAAGGCAAGTTAGACCAAGAGTGCAGAACTCTGTTAAGGAACTCTGTTCCCTTTCCCCTTTCCTTGAACTTCAAGGAAAAGATCCTTGAACTTCCTTGCAAAAAGATTCATGAAGATTGTATACATGTATTTTGTACAACATGTTTTGACGTAGGTATACATTATGGAATAGCTAAGCCAAGCTGATTAATATATGCATTACCTCCCAGAATTATCAACGTTTTGTGGTGATATCATTCAAAGTCTACTCTCAGCAGTTTTCAAAATAGGATACATTGTGAGAATAATCAGATGTACGTTATAAGGAGGTAGATTGTGTGAAATTTGTAATTGAAAGGAGAATGATTAAATAAAAGAAGAAAAGAACCAAGTATGTCACCACTTTTTGCAGTCAGTGACAGATTGGACGACAGTGCCTTTCTCCCAGATAAAGGACCTATGAAGAGAAGTAGTAGACTTGTGAATGAAGATAATGAATTTGCTGGGGGAACAGACTTACTTGATCTAACTGGGAAATGCAAGTGAAGGTATTCCAGCAATTGGAAATGCATATGTGTCCTGGGAGAAACAAACATGATTCCTTGCATGAAAGCTCAGGTATTGTGTGAATATTGGTAAACTATTTACACATGATTATTATTTACTGCATCCGTTCAATAAATATTGATTCAGAACCTTATGAAGACATGAAAAGTGAACTGATTTTGGTGTATTTGATGAATGACTAGTGGTATATACACATAATGGAGTTTATTTGGTCAGAAAGAAGAACAAAGTTATGTCACTTGCAGGAAAATGGATGAAACTGGAGACCCTATGCTAATGAGGTTAACCGACTCGGGAACTCAAGGTTCATATGTTTTTCTCTTATATGTGGAAGTTAGAAAAAAGAAAGGAAAAAGGACATCATCAAAACAGAAGAAGCCAGTAGACTAGAAGAAGTGGATCTGGGGAGAGAGGAAGGGAGGTAAAGGCAGAGTATGAGGGATTGAAATAGACCAAACCCTGAATTGTACATGTGTGAGTCCATTATGATGTAAGATTGCAATGCACCAATGAAATGTTGTATTTGTGAGTGTGCATAAGAAGGTGCAGGTGTCATGGATTTGGTGAAATTTACTTGACCCATTGAAGGATGGTTGAATTTACCTGGCAGGTATATGATAAGGTTTGTTTTTCTGGACCCAAGAGGAAGAGATTTTTGGTAGTCAGAGAAGTTGTGAATAGAGACAGCAAAATAATACATCTTAAAATGTGACTGCATGAGGAATGTACTCTTTTTCACTCTTTATTTACAGTAAATTAGCTTTTTCTGATTTTTTTTTTGCCTTTCCATTAGAGGCAATTATATCCTTTCAAATGTACTACAGTCACATGCATAAAGTTGATTCAGCTAATACTTGCTATAAGATGTCTTTAAAAAAAAAAGAAAATGAGACTCCAGTCGATACATATCAAAGAGGAATTGCAAATGGTTAATTATTTTCTGACACTTGGAAAAGATGTGAAATACAGTCCACAGGAAAAGAAAATGTTCCTTGGACAGAATATTAACACTTTAATGCCCAACTTTATACGAGAAATGTGAAAGACAGAAACCATCTATGGTAAAACCAATGAAATGGCTGTATCTCAACACAGATGTCAATATTTAGTTCATCCTTTCCAAAGAAGCCCAGAAGCCAATGATGCATATTCAGAAAAATTGCCATACACCTTAAAATACGAATAAATTTTCACCATAAATGCATATGACCTGAAATGTAAAAATGGGTCTGCCTGTAACTGGGAATGTGTTCCCTCTCAGGACTGATAGTGGTGGTTCCCACCTCTGTCTATGGCGAAACAGTGAGCCAACAAGTCCGCACGGCTTGTGGCCCTGAGTTTAGCTCTTTCCCTCTGCAGTCAGCATTACTGGAATTGTTCACACGTCCACCCTGAAGGTGGCCAGATGCTTACTCACTGAGAAAATCTATCCCAACCCTCCCACTAACTGGGGTCCAGTCAGCTGGCCTCAGGCAAGTCATTCCGCCCCAGTGTCTTCATCTCATCTATGATATAAATAGGAGGGACGTCATGGAGCCACCCAACATCTGAAAAAATTAAATTAAACACACCAGTGTATTTTTCCAGAGAGAATCCGGGTTTTGCCTGCTAGCGTTCTTTTTAAATGTAATTTGATTTTTTAATTGACAAAATATATATTTATTGTGTACAACGTGTTTCAAAGTAGGTACAAGTTATGGAATGGCTAACTTAACATACACATTTCTTCACATGCTTATCAACAATGTTTTGGAGTAAGACCACTTAAAATCTACTCTGTTCACGATAAAAGACAAAGGTTTCTGTCTTTTATATTTCTTGTACAAAATTGGGCATTAAAGTGTTAATTTTCTGTCTTAGAAACATGTTTTGGAGTGAGACTGCTTAAAATCTACTCTCTTTAGTAAAATGGTAGTCAGTGTGTGGTATTATATTTCAAAATACAATAGATGGTTCCAGCCTAAGTCACCATGGTGTTGCGGTAGGTCTCTTGAACTCCTGGATAACTGACATTTTGTAGCTTGTGGCCAATGTCTCTGAAACCTGAACCCTACATCCCCTCAGTTAAGGGTCTTGATTGCAAACTACAGAAACCAACTTCAATAACTAGGATTTAAAATAAAAAGGATTTTCTTCAGGCTCAGAGTGCAAGCTTGCACAATCCGCCACTGAGGAAACCCATGGAAGCAAGGGCACTGCTGAGCGCCAGTCCCATAGCTGTCCCTTCTAAATGCTGTCACTGGGTACGGAGCTCTTCCACCCTGCATGCTTATAGCTGTGCTGCGGTGCTTGCTGCTCAACCTCAGAGCTGAGCCTTTCCTTCTGCCTTCAAGATTAGGAGCCCATGATTCTTGACCAAAAGTGCCTGTCCAGTGTGTCCCCATTCTGGCCACCAAGGGATAGAGAATATCATGGGGGAGGGGACCCTGCCTCCTGCTGAAGAGGTCACCACCTTCTCCCAGGAGGAGATGAGCTGGGGCCACCAGAACACCCCTCTCTCTTGCCTTCTCCTTCTTCAGATTCTCCCAGGAACGCCAACCCCCCACTTCTGTCAGGGAAGAGTCTGAATCGCTGCATTAGATTATCTGTAATTACAGCTATGAAATTATATGATTCTAAATACCAATTTTTATTTCCTCCATCATCTTCCAACTCTGAATTTCCTGAACAAGATACAAATGCAGCAATAGAATGACTAAGAGCTTTGCAGGGTCAGCCCTGAACATCTTTGGCTCATTTCAGTGGGTGTGTAATTATGATGGTTGGGCTAATGAAAGAGAGTAACAGATGTCTCGGAGCACTGTCACCCAACTGAATTTCTGGCAAACCAAGAAGATTCCCCAGGAGAAAGTTTCTTTCTCATGTAGCCTCTGATGCTGTGCTGAGAGTATATTCAGATGCAATATGGCTTCATAGCTAGGTGCATAATCCTGAAGGTTAATGAGAACGGATGTGAGTTTTGATTCTGTCCCTTATTTTCTGGTTCTCCAGGAACAGTGGCTGTGTCTCAGGATGTCTCAATTTCCTGTTTAGTAAAATGGTAGTCGGTGCGTGGTATCATAAAAACAAAATGACATAGTGCAAGGAGTTATAGCGATACACAGTGACAGCTCAAGAAATAATGATGAAAATCATCATGTTACTAGTTAAGGGATGGTCTAGCTATGAGCCCAACTCATTCCAAAAAAAAAAAAAAAAATGTTTGTACTTTTAAATCTTAAGTTTAACATAATAAAGATCTTTGGGAATATTCCACATTGAAGTAATTCCATGAATTATGGAATCAACCATTTGCACAGATCACTCAAATACCACATTGAAAGGTAACAGTGACCATTTTTTTACCCCCATTAAAAAGATATTTAAAAAGAGTACATTATATTAAATTCTGCCCAAGTATATAAATTGCTTCAATTATTTTAAATGGTACCATTAAACTGAATTTAATATGAAGTAGCCAGAAAGTTTGATAATGGGATTATTCTTCAAAGATGTGTTCAACAAAAGTAGGGTAGACGTTGTGAAGGACTTCTGAGCTGGCCTTTGTCACAGCTACTCCCCACATCCTGGGCATTTGTGCTTGTTTTCATGAATCCTTTGATTCCGTGATTCTCCTAACCAGGGTGCCCTTTCTTTACAATTTTCAGGCAAATGTGAATGTGGCAAATGCACGTGCTACCCGCCAGGAGACCGCAGGGTGTATGGCAAGACCTGCGAGTGTGACGATCGCCGCTGTGAGGACCTGGACGGTGTGGTCTGTGGAGGTTGGTGATGGGCCCCGCAGCCTCTTGCTGTCTGCATGCCACTTGTTGTCCCTGCCTTTCTATCTTCCTTGCCCCTGTTTTAAAGTGCTGTTAAAAAGAGGAAAAACAAAAAGCATTATCACATTAGACCTAACGGCAACACACAGTTAGGTTCACTGTGACCTTTATGTCCTTGAACTCTTGATGTAGGGGCGTTGGAAAATACACAGTAATGGATCATTGAGTCTGAACTATGTACAAAGTACAGTGATATTTTGTTATCACAGTTAAAATATTTTGCTGGAAGTTAACATTTTATCATGGATTTTATGACTTCACTCATAAACCCTGATGGAGGAAGTTTCATCCTACAAACTTAGAAAAAACACACCAAGTTTATGCTCTACAAAATCACAGGTGATAGATGCACCATTTCCATGATAGCTCTTGGACCAAACTTGAGATTACAGAAAATAATAAACTGTCCAGAGAAAGAATGAGGCAGATGGACAGCAGTCAGCAAAGTAGCAGCAAAAATGAGAGTCTCAGAAAGAGACGCCCACCTGAGCCTCATCCGGGAGGGAATGGGGGTCACAGTCTCGTATCTCAGTCTTCAGATGATTCATATTGTGGAGGCTGATGGGTGCAAGCTATTTCTCCTTAGGGTTTTCAGTACAATTGAACTGGATGTGTAACCACATAAAAAAATGTAATTGCATCTCTCCAAGATTATTATTATAAGTATATTGGGCAGTATATTATTGGGAAAACTCCAAAGGTATATCCTATATCAACATTATTTTTAGGTTAGTTCCTCCCTTCACTAATATTGGTTACCAGAATTGTCTATGCATATTGTAGTTACTTTTGTTCATAAAGCACAGAATATATATTAATTCATTTAATTTTCACAACATTATATTGTATATAATGAGTCTGAACTATGAGTCTGAGACAGTGGGACACCTGGAAGTTCCATATGCTTATCTGGTTCTCTTGTTCTTGTTGTCCTTCTCTCCGTTGTGCAGTGTTGAGTTCTCATGGGACTCTTGGCCCAACATTTTGTGACTTGGTAGAAATGGTTAATTCTGTAAAAACCAGTTAAATCTCTATATCCATCAAATCATGTGTTTCCCTACATAAAACTATTTATGTCCAACTTTGGGGAATAAATAAAGTAAAAACAAATCAGCCTTCCTATTAGATGAGATCAGATGTTGATTGGGTGAGACAGCAGCTCACAAAGTGTTCCTGTTTTACCAATTTTCTGCTGTTATGGTTTGAATCTGGAATGTTCCCCCCAAATCCCATGAGTTGGGCAATTCCATGATGTTCAGAGTTGAATTGATTGGATTATCAGGACTTTAACCTCCTCGGTGGATCTGAAGGATTAATAATTTGATTGGACTCATAGGCAGATGGGGTATGGCCTGAGGAAGCAGGTTCCCTGGTCCCTAGCCACTTCCTGTCTGTCTGTCTCTCTGTATCTGTGCTTCCTGGCTTGAGCAGTGCTTCTCCACCACACCCTTCCACCTTCATGAGCCATGGAGTTGGCTGTCTATGGATTAAAACCTCTGAAGCCATGAGCCAAAATAAATCTTTCCTCCTAAGTTACTTTTGTCAGGTATTTTGGTCACAGCAGCATAAAGCTGCCTGATGTGTTGGTGCTGCAAATCCAACGGGTCCACAGTGTCCATCTTTGCCGAGCTCCTTGGAACCTCAGGGATGGACCTTCATGAACCAAACTCGTGAAGTTCAGTACATAAAGCAGAACACCAGTCACTTGATTTGTAGGGTGACGTGGAGTTTGGAACTCTGTAGCGAAACCCTAAAGGAACTCAGGTGCTGAGACAAGGATTTGGCTGTGCTTTATGGAAAAGGTGCTGGGAATGCTGGTGAGAGAGCTGTGGCAGGAAGGAGGAAGCAGTCTATGAAAGTCACGTGGTCAGTGCAGTCACATGGTCACCTGGGGCTTCAACTCAGCACAGGGTTGAAGCTCTGGGATCCTGTGTGAGACACAATCCTTAAGTATCTATCAGGGTTCCCTAATGACCATTTCTAGCAGGTGTTTATTCCCCTGCCACATCAGCATGCCTTACAGGTGTGTTCTTAGAGCATGGTCCTGTGTCTGGCAAAGGCTTTGTGGCACCTAGTGGGAGTCACTGAACAACAAGGATGAAGGGATGCAAGTGTGTCCTGACTGCCACTGCCACAATATCCTTTCCAAAGGAACAGTCATGTGTCGGAGGGCCTGGGAGTGTTTTCTGGGTCCTGCAGCACACACTCACAAGTTCTTATTCTTTGAACACCATCTAGATTTTGACAGCTGTCCCATCCACTCTTACCCAGGAGTTAACAATAGGTTAGACCATATCCATAGACAAGCTGTCAACCTGATCCTTGTAAAACCTTGATTAAAATTTAGTAGATACTGAATCAAACACACAGAGACTGTTTCCTTGGGGGTTGCTGCTTCGGTGGTGCCATGGAACATAACTGTCAGAGGATGAACTTATTTGCAAGTCCAGGTGGGTCTTTGCCTGGCTCCTATGTAGCAGAAGAGAGTGATCCTCCTGCAGCCGGTCAACATAACCAGACATGCAGACCATCCTGGATCACTACCATCAGGTTACTTCTTAGTCGACTTCTTAAACTAACTCTAAGAACCACATATTTATTTATTTTGTACTTTAGATTTTAACAAAAGCATTTTATCAACCCAAAGATCTTTGGATACTTAATTCTTTTCAAGTTTGTAAAGGAAACAAGTACTGGATATTTCCCTTGAAAATATTTCATATTATTATTATTATTATTATTATTATTATTATTATTAAAATTTACTTTGATTCTTTAATGATGCCTCTGAAAAATTTGGGGTTAGGATGACACCAATATTTAAAAAGATTGTTTCTATGTAACAACGTGTGCTTCACTTACCTGGTCCTGGCTCACAGGAGTCCCTTAAGTAACTGACTCAGGTAAGAGCCCAGAACCTTGCACTCTGCCATAGACTTGACACCAGGTCTGTGCACACACTTTTGCACACTCCTCAGAGTCCTGTTGCTTGGACAGGGATAGTTCCTGGAGAGAGAGATGCTTCACAACAGCCTGGTCAAGTTCATCATGAGAAATACAGAGGTAGGAATGGCACACAGAACTCAGCATCCCATTACGGTGCTCTGCGGAGCACTCCTCCACAACAAAAGCCCAAGACACAGTCAGTTCTTGATCTTTTTGGCAGTTACATTCTAAAAGGTGACCCTGAACACTGCGATAACACCGCAACAGTTCCTGCCTGTGGTCACAATGTTTGCATCAACTGATCAATAATGAAGTGTTTTCCTTATGTTTCTGGGTAAAGACACCTTATCTAATACATAATTGATTCATTAGCATTGAACTCAAGGCCAGCATCTCTATAAACTCAGGCCTGAAAAAGGCTGATCTAGCACATGTATTTTCTCTGCAAGGCATGTCACAGCCTTCTTGAACTTAGAAACCCTGGGCAGCACTTCAACACTGTGCCTGGGGCCACCTGACACCATCAAAAAGCATGAGAATGTGAAAAACATAAACCATGAGAAAGACACATATTTAGGACAGAGCTGGAAAAGGATGGTGGAGCGTGACCCTCTTTGATTTTAACTGGGAATGTGAGGCACAGGCAAGTCAGGTATTTCACCACGCTACTGAGTTCTCAAATGCCTGGGATGGCTCTGAGAGTATGGTTTTAGTGTTGCAAATCAGTGTTTGTGAATGAGCGAAGTTGCAAATATAAAATCTGGGATTAGAGAAAATCAACTGTAACTCATATTAAACTGCACTGGAAAGGGTACCAGTGCTTCTCACTTTAGCTTTGCACTTACCTGCAAGTTGTGGTTTCTTTAAGGCAGCTGGTAAAGATAATGTGGTTTTAATTCCTCTATTTTCTGCTCATTGCTTTATGGAAAGGATTATAGGGGCCTTGGCTATTATGGTATTGAATTCCTTCTAGGCCGTGGCTATCTTTGCAAAGAAAATAAAAGGGACATCACATTATTGAGCATGTTTCAATCTATAGCAATTTTAGCAGTGAAGTATACAACATAGCAAACCAAATGGTAAGGAGGTCACAAATTCCCATGCTTGTCTTAAGCATTCACTTAGCATATTGACAGTGCATGAGGCTGAAGCCAGGTTTTCTTGGGTACATCCCTGCTCTTCCTGAGGCCCCTTACTATATATAGGGCCTCAAGAAATTGATATAACCTCTATTTTTCATCTATAAAATGATAATAACATATCTTGTAGGATTGTTGTGAGATTAAAGAAATTGACACATATTAAAATGTTAAGACAGTACCTGGTACATAAGTTTGCCATACATATATAGATCACCCTACATATATTAAATACATATATTAGATCACCCTTATTAAATACATATACAGAAAGTACAATGTACAATTTAGCCATATCTGTGATGGTCTGGTCTTCAGTTTTGGATGGCATGGATGATTATACCTTTCTATTCTTTTTGTATGAGATAGACTTTCTTCTTATGTGTAAAACCTAAGCTGCCAAACCAAAACAGCAGAATACCATCCATCTCCATAGTGTTTAAGCAGCTCTTGCTAAATAGTGCACCTTCTATGGGGAAGGGAAGCTTTCTGTGGATCTGCTCAGGTGTTCAGGGGCACCATTAGGAAGACATAGGCCATCAGGAGTCCTCAAGCCACAACATTTCCATATTCCTCAGTTGATATAAAAAAATCCAATTATATACAAAAAATTCTGTCTTGTTTAGTACATGTTTTAGGCAGCTTTTCCACCACTGTGACCAAAAGACTGGACAAAAGCAATTTTAGAGGAGGGAAATTTTATTTGGGGCTCACAGTTTCAGAGGTCTCAGTTCATACATGGCTGCTTCCTTTGTTCTGGGCTCAAGATAAGGTAGGGCATCGTGTTGGAAGGGCCTGGATGTGGAAAGCAGCTTAGGACAGAGCAACCAGGAAGCAGAGAGAGTGTTCTGCTTACCA